CTGACACTTTAACCCTAAACCCTCAACCTGCCTTGGGGCCCTGCGGGGTAGTTCCCCTCGTGGGTGCCCAAGGCCACGCTGCGACCGTGGCCCAACCTCTCCCGACCCACCCGGGCCCGGGCCCCCAGGGCTTTTCTTGCCCTTAAGGGGTTTAGGGTTTAGGGTTTTTAAGGTTTAAGGGTTTAGGGTTCAGGGTTTAGGGTTCAGGGTTTAGGGTTTGAGGTTTAGGGCTTAGGGGTTTAGGGTTTGAAGTTTAGTTTCAGGTTTTTTGCAAAGGCTCTATAACTTCAAAAGCAGCCACATGTTTCTATCTAGGTTTACAGCATCGAGGGCTTTTTCGGGTTTTTGTTTTATCAGGGTTCCTTTCAGGGCTGTTTACCCCAAACCCCAAACCCTAAACCCCCAAACCCTAAACCCCCAGACACTAAACTCCAAACCCCCAAACCCTAAACCCCTAAACCCCCAAACCCCTAAACCCCCAAACCCCTAAACCCTAAACCCCCAAACCCCTTAACCCTAAACCCCCAAGCCCTAAACCCCCAAACCTCATACACCCCTAAACCCCTAAAACCCTTTCTTTTCGGGGCCGGAAGAAACCCGAGAGCCGAAACTGAGGATTTAGGATGCACCCAGAGAGCCCAATACCCCCTTAAATAAGGAATATATACCTTAAACTAGAGGGTTCTTTAAAGGGATCTATAAGGGGCTCTGTAGGGCTCTAGAGGGGAATTAAGGAAGATACCTTAAATCATAGGGGCCTTGATATTGTGATTTAAGTTATATTCCTTATTTAAGGGGTGTGGGGTTTGGGATCCAGGGCCCCAGGGCTTTTGGGGTTTTGGGGCTTAGGGTTTAGGGTGGGGTTTTGGGGTTTAGGGCTTTAAGGCTTAGGGTGGGGTTTTGGGGTTTGGGGTTTTTAGGGCTTAGGGTTCAGGGGGTGGTTTTGGGGCTTAGGGCCTTTATACCACGTAGTTCGACTCGCAATGGCATTTCTTGCAGTTAGAGGCCCCTCTCACAGAGTTCAGCATCTACTTTCCAACAGCTCCTCAAACGTTGGAAGTGTCATCCAGAAGACAATAACAACACGTGATTCCAGTTGAGTTTCTGGGGCTCCCCTGCACAGTGGTACTTGGGCGGGCAACGCAGGAGACGAGATGTTGTAAAGTGAAAAAATCACTTAATGTAGGGGCCTTGATAATTTGAATCGGGTTTGGGGTATATTCTACTATACTTATAGTAAGGAACCCCCCAAAATAGTATTGGTAATTATCTAGGCCCCTTGTCTTACCGGTCAAACTTTCATAACCAAACTCCAATCCCTGAGCAAAGAAAAACCTCCCTCTGTCTGTCCCGGGACCCCAACCCTTCCAGGACCCTCCTTGTACCCTCAAATAGGGGTATATGGTCCCAAATAAGGGGTACTTATAGGGTCTAATAGAGGGTAGGTGGAGGGTCTAGGTTAATAACGGTTCAGGGTTTAGGGTTTAATAATCCTCCCGCTGGACGAACATGAAGTACGATGTATCGTTACACAGGCGTGAACCAGTTCCACTAGAATGATGACAAAAACCAGGAATAGATTTCTGTGACCTTTCTTATCTCCAGGAGCGACTTTTGACAGCACTCCGACTCTAAGAATCACCATGCGCCTGTTCCAACCTGTCTTACGATCGTACTCGACCGTCTGCAGCACATCCAGCATGGCCTTGGCTTGGGCGTTCGACCACTAGGGCTGCCCTGAGTGATCAACTCGGATGTAAGGTTTCGTTTCGTTGCAAACCCAGCTCGAAAACTTTATGATACAACACATCACAGCACTTGCTGGATTTAAACGTATTTCAAACTTCGGCTATGGAGTATCGGGCTGTAACGCTCTGCTGCTTCCCCCCCCCCCACACACACACACCGACGAAAACCCACACTTCAACCTTGAAGCCCAAGATGAAGCCCTGAAGCCCGAGCCCTAAGACAGAACACCTGAGCCCAAGGGTTTAGGGGTTTAGGGCTTGGGGCTTAGGGTTTAACCCTGAAACCTTCGTAACCAGACCTTAAACCCTGCACCCGAGCCACCAACCGTATGGTCCACCTTCCCGAAGACCAGTCCGACTCCCTACGCTTCATCCCTGGAGCTCTTTTTCAAGGATCCGGGGACTTCCTACGCCCAAGCAGGACACCCATAAACTTAATATTTTTACCGGTGTTTTAGGGTTTAGGGGCTGCCAGACTTGATGATGGGCCGACCCCCAGTTCAACCCAGTGCCCTCTGAGCTTAGGCCACTGCGGTGTGTACGAATGGTTGATGGTCTAAGCAGACATGTAGCTGGCATGCCGGGTCTTGTATCTGCTTCGAGGTTTGCGCATATGCTTTCAACGGCGGAAGGTAGAATGGAGAAAATCTGTGTGTGTGCCATGTTGCGGCGAAGTCCAGTACTCAAGGACTCAGGGTCAGATGCCACTCCATGGGCCACACCGTGCTGAAAGAAGACCCGCACGGCAGCAGGTATTCAGCACCGGCGCACGAGTGACTTTGCCGGATGGCCTCGATTTCCATGCAACGGAACCGACTTTGCAACCACATGCCCTTTGCTGCGTGTTGTGCAGGAAGGTTTTGTATCCAGCGCCGTGACATCCAGCTGATTAGATGCAGCTACGCATAATCCGCAGCAACGAGCTGCACTTGCTCAAGGTAAGGGGTTTTCTCGCCGACGTTGGTGCTCGTGATGAGAGCCGCTTGCTGCTTCTTGCCTCTATGCTGCCATCGGCATAACGTCATGAATATGGTTAAAAAATATCCTGTCAATCCCTCAGATTGTTTAAGACCTCGTGCGCAACAAACTATTACAGCTGTACTATAAGGGCTACTTACTACACCTCAGGCTTAGCAGGTGAAGTTTTGATCACTGTAATTGGGGCTAGAATCTGCTAGAAGTAGTTGCAACTATAGTTAACCTGCTCCTGAGCCTACTTACCGAGGCCCCTGTTCCTTCCAGCACACCGTAAAGCCCAACACGGCTGAAACCCTAAACCTAAACTCAACCCTAAACCACCAGGCGCAGCTCCCAAACCTTCAGAAGCCTTTTTGTGAGCTGCATGCAGAGGGCGAGCTCACCGATGGCCGTGAATTTAAGTCCCTCTGTTGAAGATTCCGATGTCTACGGTTTAGAGTAGGGTTTAGGGTTCAGGCTTCAGGGTTTAGGGTTCAGGGTTTAGGGTTTGGGTTTAGTGTTTAGATTTAGGGTTGAGGGTTCAGGGCTTAGGGGCTTAAGATTTCGGGTTCGGGATTTAGGGTCAACGTCCATTGAAGGACGTTGGCATCAGCGTGGGATCCCTTCAATCCCTGCCCTGCCGACATGAGACTTTGCTTTTGGGGTCCTTATAATAAGGATCCTACTATTGAGGGTACTATACTAGGGTCCCCTACATGTCGAGCTGCTGCAAAGAGTGCGCGGCTGGGCTTGACCTCACAAGGAGTGGAAAACTAAGGATTCCGGGATGAATTGGACAATTGGACTTTCCTGGTAAGGGGGCCTCCATGAGTCGATAAGAGCGGTGGGTGGTATGTTGTAACCATCAGGGTCCAAGTAGTCCTTATTTAGGGTTTTGGGTACCCATAAAGGCCCCAAAGTCCGTAAATAATGAGTACTTGGACCCTTAAAGCCTTAGGGTCATATAGCTGTGTCGGGAACGCGAAGGTAGATTCGATGATTGCTTGCTGCTCCGTCTCGGTTCAGCTTCTCCGCCAGTAGGAAGTCTCGGTCTGAGGATGAGGGGTTTACCCACAGGCCCCTAAGTCGTTGCTTTTTGGGGATGACCTTATAAGCCTTATAGGTTTCTACACATAAACCATAAAAAAGGAACTACTTAAGGGCCTGTGGGTAGGGGCTTAGGATTTAGGGTGCCTCGTTTTTCAAGCTCCTAATTTCCATCTGCCCGCAGCCCAGCCTTGCTAGGGTTTAGGGTTTAGCCGGGCTCGGCCCAGGTCTGCAGAATTTGCACGCTACCTGGCAGCCAACAACTACGGTTGATGCTTCAAACCCTGCACTACCCATAATAAGGAATATACCAGAATTCCCATAGTTTAGGGTCCTTAAGGTAATCCATCAACCGTATCTCCCCAGGGGGTTTATGGTTCAGGTTGTTGCTGCGAGAGAGTTCAGTGAGCTTGTTCTTATCTCCCGTTGCCATGGCGATGGCTCCCAAACGACGACGACGACGACGACGACGACTCGCAATCGCTAAACTGAACACCCAATCAAACCAACAACTACACCCTAAACCCTAAACCTTTAAACCCTCTTAATACAGGAACTCTGGTTAAGAAACCTTGGGTCGGTCTGTGCCACAATATATGGATCCTAATCTTTTGGGTTTATGGACCCGGCATCCTTCATCAGCTGCCTACCGCCCCAAACCCTAAACCCCGAACCCTAAACCCCAAACCCTGAGGCGTTTGGCTTTCAGGCTTCGTAGTGTAGTTTCCCTTTGGGTCCACTTCGACTGCCTGATCGCTGGAACCCTAGTGCGGAGCGACCTGTATCGGGCTCCCACGACAACCTCGATTGACTGTACGCCGGGCGAGGTCATCGAGCCACTGCCCCACCTTTTGGTGGCTGGCTTCCAGTCCACGCTCCCACGAGTTTCTCGTGTGGACCGTGGGATCTGGACTACTCCCTGAACTACATCTACGTCCTCGTGTATGGGTTACCGAGGCACAGTTTTGTTCATCTCTTTTCTGCTATTTGCTGCTATCGGGATACAATACGAAGCAGCAAAGGCTGCGCGAAGCAGCCTGGCACAGACAACTGCGGCGAGGCCGCACGAAGGCGCGGACCCTGCTACGTGGTTCTCTGGTGGGACTTGTCCCTTGGAGTGGAGATTTGATCAGGGCGGTGAACCGATTGGAGACGCATCATTCCTCGTCGGTGCTACCGGCCCTCGTCCGAGCGCGAAGGCAGAGACTGCTTCAATCCAGCAGTCACGTGCAGCCCCACCTGCCAAAAATGGCACCGTGGAAGTGTGTTTGTGGAAATACCAACAAAGCCTCTGCCGTGTACTGTGCTTCCTGTGGGAGCAAGTGGGACGAGCAGACATACAGTGGCTCTTGGCATGGGAAAGGCAAGGGCCATGGCTGGATCGAGGAGCATGGGCGGCAGGCTTATGCACCCTCCCCGCGGCGCTGGACAGAGCCGGCGCAGCCATGGAGAGGGAAATCACCAAGACGTCGTCCCAAGGGACCGGGACGGGGCAAAGGGCAGGACCCGGGCAAGAGCAAAGGAAAGGGCAATGGAGTGCCCGGACCACAGGAACCAGCCGGACCTGCTGCTCCGACGATGAAGTTGCCGGAGCCTCCTGTTCGCCAGTCGTTGCCGGCGCCGACAGGCCAAGCAAGGGATGCTGGGCAGACGGGCGCCAACACAGCAGATCGCCAGGCGTTGGACCGCCTGTTGCAAGCAATGAAGGCGAGCGAGCAGGAACTCACACCCCAACTACGCGAGATCCTCGAGCAGCACAAGCACGAAGACGCGAAGGAGGAGGCGAGGAGCTTACACAAGCTTGTCACCTCCAAGGCGTCAGCCAAGAAAGAGCTGACAAGGCTCCGGGCGGCTCGAGCAAGCTACCTTCAGGCCTGGAGCGGTTATCTGGATCAGGTGATTGGGACCATCCAGACACAGCTGGAGGAGCACTCGGGCACGATGACGGACTTCTTGCAGAAGGAGAATCAATGGGAGCAGGCGCTCCTCGAGGCGACGACGGAGCTCGCTCGCCGGACAGCGGACTCGTCAGAACAGGTCGAGACTATCACGGATGGCGAGGAGGACGAGATGGATGCAAGCGAGGCCAAGGTCGAGGAGGCATGCCAAGCCGAGTTGCAGACACAGCGGATGGCAGAGCGTGCTCAAGCAATCTCGCAGCAGAGCCAGTCCATTCTGCAAGGCGCTACAGGCAGCCAAGGAGCAGGCCGTGGAGGAGCAGCAGAAGGAGCAGGCGAGAGAACGGACACCAAGAAGAGCCAAGCCAGGAGAAGATGCCAAAAAGGCGGGCGGAGATCTTTCGCACCCTGGCAAGGCCTCATGAGTAGCCACTTGGTATTCATGGGGCCAGATACGATCGGGCACGCGCTCGGCGCCAGCCCACTTCTGCATCCAGTTGTGAGCGAATGGGATTTCGCTCTGCCGCAAGCTGCCCGCTGGTACGCGTTACAGCTGCAATACGATCTCATTTTCGAGGACCTGGGTGTGATGTTCACTCCTGGGCAGGACAGCAGAGTCACACATGCGGAAACGCTCTTCCCGTGGGATTATAAACAGGATCTGGACACCGCCGATGCAGTGGGGCTTTGCAGCACGGCGGGCTGTCCATCTGTGTTCCAATGTTCCAGCTACCCGCATGGTGCACAGGGAGCTGATGTCATTGATGCCACAGGTGTTCTGCCGCGGTGTTGCAAAGCGCCACGGCAGGAAGGCTTGGAGAGGCACACAGCTGACAGCCACGTGTGTACAGTTCGTGTACCATCTTCCATTGTACATACATCACCTCATCTGGCTAGGTTTAAAGTCTGCTTCAGGCATGATGGTGTTCGGGATGTTAACACCTTCTGCCGGCAACTTGCAGGACTCAGAGATCGGAGGCCTGCCGTTCCACCGTGCATTTCAGGTTGCACTGGTTCCGATGCGGCACAAACCGTTTCTGTACCTTCCCCGAGCAGTCCCAACGCCACTACCCGGTCGCAGCGTGTGCAGGCACTGTGGCCTTGCACCGCCTCCGTCCCTGAAACCTGTGGCGCCGGCCAAAATGCAGAGGCAGGTTTTGAGGTCTCCTCACTGCCCTTTCAGGTGAATGTACATGAGGATGCCAAGGTTGCCCCGTCGCTTCGAGTGCCGACTTCTGCGTCTGGCACCACACCTGCCCTTGGTAAATCCATTGATCCCTGGCTCCATACAAGCACTTTGGCACATGTTAAGTACTGCGCCCAATCCGGAGCCGCGCCCCAGTCGCAGCGTGTGCAGGCATTTGGACCTTGCACCGCACCTGTCCATGCAACAGCCGGCACAGGTCAAGGCGCAGAGGCAAGTTTTGAGATTTCCCCACCGCTCATCCAAGGGAAGGTTTATGTTGATGCTAGAGCTGCCCTGTCGCAGCGAGTGCAGGCCTGTTCGCCTGGCACCGCACATGTCCACAATGATAAGTCCTGTGCAGTCGACGCCCAGTCGCAGCATGTGCGGCCCGGAGACAGCGCCGCCCTTGACCTTCAGCCATGCATCACCAGCCACGTTGTTTGCCCGACCACTGGCGCCCGTGGTTCTTCCCGACCTGGCCTTGTTGACCTGCGTATCCAGCTTGCGTCCCGAGTTGCTCTGTTTCCGGAGGAACTTGATAGGCCAGAAGTGCGAGGACAGCAGGTGTCTCAATTCTGGTGGTTCACAGGGTTCAGAGCCAGTGGAAGCGTGGGCGATACGCCACAGCAAGACCGCTTCGCTTTGTTTACTACCGCTTCCCATGTGGAGGTGCGCAGCATGAGGCGAGGCATCACTTTGGATGCGTTCATCACGGAAATTTATAGTGTGGTCCCCGGTTTGCGAAGCCTGCGCATCCTCCTTGAGCGTTTGGATGGACTGCCGGCGGTGCAAATCGCTGCGACGACGCGAGAAGCGCCGCCCCTAGGATGCGCGATGCCTGTGGACCTCCGTGGGGTGGAAGGTCGTGTGTGTACCATCAACCTCCTGCCAGGCGCCACCACCAACATGGTGTCGCAGGAGATACTGTCGTCCTGCCCACCTGCTCGACGACCACAAGTGCCCTTCAGACTTTTCCTCCCCGATGGCCGTGCATTCGTGGCGATCCCATATCAAGTATCGGGACCTGATTTTATCAGGGGCCGCGCGCTGCCGGAGCATGTGGATGAAGCTGCACATGATTCTGAAGAGGAGGCCTTGGAGGAGGATCAGCCAGCTTTCCTGCAAACTGGCATCGCGTGCAGCGCCGTGGCCAAGGGAAGCGCCCCTACAGCAAGCGTATGCCCACATGAAGACGTGCTGAGACCCGAAGTGTGGGGAAGTGACTCCTGCCCGGTTGCTTTTCCTGTTAGGGACCCACCCACACTTTTGAGGACTGAGGGCCCTCCCCGTGCCAGTGTTGTTCACTCCACCACCAAGGTGCCGACAATACTTCCTGAGAGACTTGCGGCTCCGAACATACGAGAAATCCCGGCGGGGCAGCTGTGTCTTTTCTGTCAAACCGCTGCGCACCACAACGAGCTCCGGCGGTATAGTGTTTTCGACAGGAATAGGCACCATGTCGTTCGGAAGGCCTCTGTTCACTGGTCCCTTCTGGACTACATCGTTGATGCGACCAGCTCAGCAAGCGAGGAGACTCAGAGTGTGCAGGTCCTGACTTTGCCCATTGCCGACCTCCCTGAGCCCCAGCTCACGATCACCCCGATTGGCTTGCCTCCTGGGGTTCTTGTGCTACCTCTGGATGCTCGTTCCATTGGGGGGCCGCTGTGTGCACTGCCCTTACCACCAGGCTTAGACTTTCAGCGGGTCCTCGAGGCTCTGGCTAGGGTTGCACCGTCCACTGCGCAGCTTCTCGAGCAGGCCTTGCAACTTGACGGTGTTTTCTTGCAGGACCCCACTGGTCGCATATGGGAAACACTGCCCATGGATCTCAGTGAGGTGCAATGGCTTAAAGTGGTCCTTGAACCGCGAGTGCAACAACAACTTCGATGGCTTGTGACTTTGGGCGGACCCACCACAATGACCAGCACTGCGGTGATGACCACACAGCAAGTCTCCAACCCTACGGAGACCGTCTCCTTTGTCCTGGCAGGCGGTGGAACTGTTATCCGGCTGGCCCCGCAGCCCATCCGGCTGGCCAGTGTACGGCAGTCCCTTTGCGAGCTTCTGTTCATTCTGGGGTTGCAAGGACGAGTGCCACATCGACCTGTTGTGTCGTTTGCCTCTGCCGCACCGCGACAAGCTGCCCAGCCTGCCAACCGGATTGTAATATTTTTGGTGTACCCAGCCTCGGACATTGGAGAAATTTGCCATATTCTCCAAGACTACTCACTCGATGGCTCCCTGCTCCAAGAAATGTCAGTTGACTGCGATGTCGTGGCAGGACATCTGATCTCTGAGGCACACCGGCGCAGAGGTTATCAAGCTTCCCTAAACGGGATTCCCCATACGGCTTCCGGCCGGCCATTGATCACCGGGGATTTGATACAGGTCGAGCAAGCACCCCCGTCGGCACGTCACTCCGATCGATGCACTGTATGATATCCTGCCAGATCTGCGCTTTTTCAGTATGCCACTGCGAGTTCCCTCGCTCCTCCAGTTGATGAGGGACCCTGCTGCGGGTCTCGGCCGCCAAGAGGTCATCAAAGACGCGATGCAGCGGTCCCTGGACACCCGGATCTTGGAACGGCGGGTTGAAGTTGGTGAGCCAGGCCACAACTGCCAAGCTATCTTGGTCCTTGGACCAGAGCACCCGCCGCTGCTGTTGTACATGCCGTCCAATGTTGCGCCAAGCTTGGCCGAAGCGACGACTTACCTCGCATGGTCGGGGTTTTTTGAGCCAGGCACCACGTTCGTTGATCCTCAAGTTTTCGCGCACACATTCCCTGTTTTTGTGTCGGTCCCGAAGGGCAGCCAGCGAGCTACGATCCTCTTCCCTGCTCCTTACACCCTCTTGCATTGGCTCCAACTGAATGTTCCGCTTGGCACGCCTCTGCAAGGATTTGGGCTGCCGGTCCGGCGCAATTTTGAGCTCGTACTGCCGGCACGCACCACACATGGAGCTGTTATCAGGGAGCGGCTAATTGGGGGCCGCGCTTCCTCTCCTGATCCGGAGGGTGTTGGCTTGCTGCAAGTCGGGGCGCAGCTCCTAAAACAACGGCCGACAGGTGCGGGCGGCGATGATCCAGAACCTGTTGGGGCACCGATGCCTATGCAGACAACACATGTTGTGGCGCCCACGCCCTTCGGCCGCAGGGGGGTGCCTCGATCTCCGGAGGTTGGAGCCTCCGCCCTTGCAGCCAGTTCTCGGCCACGGCTGGAGCCGCCTGTTGTCCCTGCTCCTGACCCGACGCTTGAGTGTGTAGCCGCGCAGCCCCGGCCCTGTGCAAGGCAGACGCTTACACTGCAGGACTTACTGCCTGGTCATGACTGCCAACAGGAGGCTCAGCTTTGTTTTGCCACGCCGAGCGACAACCTTAGGCATGCCCTTGCGCCCTTTCATCTGAACACTCTGTGCCGCGACGTGCTTCCTGCGTCCCACCTGCACCCAGCTGCTGCAGAATTGTTGGCGCATCTGCCACCCCGGAATGCCGAGCTCGAGGTCGAAGCAGCCATGCTGTTTGTCGATGGCTCCTTTGAGCATGCAGTTTCCACTTGGGCTGTGGCAGTCTTAGTCTGCCAGCAAGGGCAGTGGAGATGGGCGGGATATCAGGCAGACGCTGTACCTTCAGCTCTATCGCCCTCCTCGGCGTACGATGGAGAACTCTTCGGACAGTTCGTGGCCCATGGCATTGTCGCAAGCGCGGAGGTCCCGGCTGCTATTTTCTTCGACAGCACCTCCGCTTCCCTGGTGGCGACGGCGCAAGCATCCACGTGCGCACACACCGCCTTGAGCAGAGCGGTGGCATCTTTGCATTTTTTGTGTACCAGCCGATGGCTCAATATGTGAAGTCCCACTCGGGACATCCCGGAAATGAACTCGCGGATAGCATTGCCAAGGCTGTACTCAAGGGCCGACTTGCACCAGTACCTTTGAGTGACGAGCATGTTGTGTCATATATCCTACAAGGAGACTTTGACACCATATGGATCCATCGGGCCCATAACCGACGAGGTATCTGGCCTCAGTTTGATGACCACGGGGATGCGCTTCCCATTGTCCCGTGGCCACAACGTAGCAGTGTTGACACTCCGGCACAGTGGGCATTCGACAGCCAGGCTGGCACCGAACGGCTATGCCGATTGAAAGGCCAAATTGCTACCTACAACACTCTGAGTGCTGTGAGCCTTTTGCAACGACAATGCCTGAGCTCTTTCATGCGCCAACATGGCATTTTGTTTGCCGGCTTCCAGGAATGCAGACAAGCCTCAGCCAGCCCCATTGTCCAGGATGGTGTGCTCCGGCTCAGCAGCCCTTCTCCGGAAGGCCGTGGTGGCTGCCAGCTCTGGGCAGATCTTCATGCCCTGCCAGGAGGAAACATGCAACAGTTTAGTGTCCACTACCGCCATCCGCGGCTGCTTGTTGTTCTTTACCAAGCTGGTGGCCTCAGGATTGCTTTTGTTGTTGGGTATTCGCCAGACTCTACTACACCCGAGGAGGAGCGAGTCGCATGGTGGGAACTCTTGAAGGCCAGGTTGCACTCGTTGCCACCAAACACTGCGCCTATCCTGCTCCTGGATGCCAATGCCAGATACCGGGCGGCACAGGCCGAGGAGCCGGCAGAGGTACCCACCAATGCCAATGCACAAGCCTTTGATGCCATACTTCAGGAGTATCAGTTGAGCCGAACACCCGCGTGCGATGCCAAAGGGTTGCCCTACCCAACTTGGCGTTCTCCTCAGGGTGTGTGGGCATGCCTCGACTACCTGGCTGTGCCCGCGATTTGGCAGGATGGCTTCCAGCCCCTTGGGGTGCAGCCTATCCTTGACACTCATGCTGGCATCGATCATCAACCAGTCCTGGCAAAAATTTCTGTCAACCTCCTTGTGCCAGAGCCGCCTAAATGTCGCCTCAATGTTGATCTCATGCGATCACCTGCAGGCGTGGCCAGAATCCGAGAGACCATGCGTAGCCTGCCTGACTGCCCATGGCATATGGACGTTGATGATCACCTGGCAGCCATCAACAATCATATCCATCAATGCATTCACGACCACTTCCTCAAGCCTGTGAAGAGTGCACGCAAGCCAGGTGTTTCCGCCTTTACTATGGAGCTTCTGCGCGCCAAAAGGCAATGCCGCCGCAGGCACCGTCGGTGCGAGGATCTGCACCGTAGGAAGCTCATGGCAGTCTGCTTGCAAGCCTGGCGCGGTGCAGGCGCAGGCCACCGGACCGAGCCACGATGCCGTCCGCCCGACATTCAGGCTCATGACAGGCTGTGCGCTGAGCACATCGCTGATATGCAACGTCTGTGCCGACATCTGCGCAGGTCCTTCAAGCATGATATGAAGCTGAATATGCGGGCGATATGTATCAGCAAGCCCGACAGGCTGGTCCGGTGCAATTGGCTCGCGTGCTTCGGTCGGTACTCAGGGTTGGCCGCAGCTATAAGCCGCCACGTATTGCCCAAGGCATTGAAGGACCGAACGGCCTCGAGACTGATCCCCATGCCGTCAAGCAGCTTTTTGCTGATCATTTTGCTGCTATTGAGGCGGCTAAGCCCTGTCAGTTGCGTGACTTACGGCAGGAGTGTACGCCGGCAGCGGGCACCCGGCTGCTGGCGGCTGGGCTTCCCACCCCAGTGGATCTGGCATCTGCATTCGCCGGCCTCCAGCACAACAAAGCACCAGGGCTCAGCAGTATCCCTGCTGAGTTCTACAATGCCTGCCCGATTGAGTCTGCTGCAGCTCATCTGCCATTGCTCCACAAGATGACCACCAGAGGCAAGTGCCCATTGCTTTGGCGTGGGCTCCTGGCAGTTCCTCTGCCAAAGCCGAATAAGCCATCGCACCGGGTCACGGGCTATAGGTCCATCGCCCTCCAAGAGCCGGCAGCCAAAGCTGTATCGAAATCGATGAGACCTGCCTTGGTGACGGGTTTTCAGGCGGTTTGTCTGGACAGCGTTGGGGGAGCGCGACCTGACGTAGCCACGGACTATCCGGCGAGTGGCGTGCAACTGCACCTCAGGGCTCTCAAACGACAGGGCATCTCTGGCTCTGTTGTGTTTGTGGATGGGGTCAGTGCTTTTTACGCTGTACGCAGAGAGCTTCTATTCACTGATAGTCTGCAGACAGTCCTGGATCGAGTCCAAGGATTGCCGGTTGAAGCTGAAGTACGGCAGCGATTTGTGCAAAGCCTTAAGCAGCATGGGGCTCTGACCTCTGCCAAAATCCCTGAGGCTGTGCAACGCCTACTCAAGACGACCTTGAGCGCGACCTGGTTCACTACCGACCCGGCGAACTTTGTGGCGCAGCACACCTTTGCCGGCACCATCCCCGGTGCTCCATTGGCAGACTTGTTGTTCCAGTTTTGCCTTGACTTGGTTCTGCATGCCCTCGCTGACCATCTTGAGGCTGAGGACATTCAGGCGCGGCTTTTTCATGATGGAGCACAGCTTTGCTCTGCAGCTCCACTTTCCTGGTTGGACGATTTAGCGATCCTGCTGCAGGCGAAATCACCAGACAGGGCCGCGCCGGATGCCAGCCGAGCCACCGCCCTCATTGGACAGTATTTGTCCATAGTAGGAATCCAGCTTAATACGCAAGCTGGGAAAACAGAAGCCATTGTCGTATGGCACGGCCCGGGCTGCCAGGCTGCGAGATATGAGACAATGATCCGCCAAGGAGCGACTGTGCCGCTCGTTCTGCCTAATGGTGAGACTGGGCGCCTTAGGTGTGTGCTTGAATACGTACATTTGGGTACACGGCGGGAGATTGACGGAGACTTGCGCTCAGCATTGGACCATCGCCATTGCGAAGCTAGAAGCGTGTGCAAGGCGGTCAAACAGCGCCTGCTGACCAACCAGTTCTTGACGCTTGCCGAACGCCAGACGCTTTTCGCCTCCCTCGTCATCAGCAGATCATGCATGGTTCTGGGACATGGCTGTTTACGACGCTGGGTTTGCAGCAACGTTACCATACCCTGTACATGGGCTTGCTACGTGGAGCCGTACGCCCCTTGTATGGATTCTCCTGCACACGCCTAGAGGCTGACGAGGTCTGCACTCTCTTGCGAGCTATGATGCCTGAGGAGGCACTGGCCCAGTCTCGAGTGCGTGTCCTTGCGGGCTTGGGGCACAATGGGGGGCATTATCTGCAGGCACAGTGCGCAGCAGATCCCGACTGGGTTTCAGCCTTGCGGTCAGACGTTTCATTTATTGCCAAAGTTTTGGCTGATGAATCGCTGCAAAGTTACGCGGCCATGCTTCCTGACTCCAACCTTGAATGGATCAAATCTTGGCCCTGGACCAAAGAGCGTACAAGGGTCAGGCTTGCAGCCTTTCGCCAAGCTGCGATCCGTTCGCGCCAAGGTCGGCATGCCCAGGTCTGTCACAAGGCAAAGGCTCATAACCGGGTCTTGGAGTTGGGGGCTTGTTTCCATCGCCTGGCGGACCCGCTGCCGGAGAATCGCATACACCCTTGCCCTGAGTGTAAGGCCATGTTTCTGACCAAGGCGGCGGCAACTGCGCATAGAGCGGCCTGCCATGATGTTCGCTCGGATGCTGCCTTTGCCGTGGGAACTGCCTGTGAAGTATGCCGGCGGCAGTTCTGGGATACTAAGCGTCTCTCCCAGCATTTCCGATCTTCTCCACGATGTGCTGCTGTGCATCGTGAAGCTGATCTGCAGCCGACCAACAAGGAGGTTTTAGCTGATAAGCGGATGCCTCCGCATGTGCTCGTAGGACCAGCCCCGTGGTGGTCTACGATGACACACGAGCCGTCCACTCCTCCCGACCCTACTCCCAACGCCGTGAATTACCTGCAAGATCTCCTCAATATGCAGATTGCGAAGCAGGTACCACTTTTCTTTCGCATGCTGGCGTGCTCTGTTGAGTCACAGGGGCGGGATGCCGTGTTGGATGCAATCCAGTCTGTACAGGGCAGCGATGAATGGCTTTTGGTCGTTCAGGTTGCTTCGGTTTTGGGCCAGGACTGTGAGCTGCATGTTTTTACAGCAGGCCAGTCTATGGCAGCCTTTCAAGCAGGTAACCTTCTTTTAGGACCTGCGGCCGCCGTGCGAGAGATACTCGCAGATGGCTGGCGGAACCTCTAGCATGCTTCTTTTGAATTTATGAGCGCGTCTATCTGACTCATGCCACGCCGCCAAAAACCCCAAACCCTGAACCCCAAACCCTAAACCCCCAACACCAAACCCCAAACCCACAACCCCAAACCCTAAACCCCCTCAAACCCCAGGAAAATATGTCATTTTGCCGGCCCAGAGACTGCAAAAAATCCGCCGTCCAGGGCGGCGAAATTGCTGCCGGTGGAGAGGAACATCTGCTGGCCTTGACAGAGCCACGGTTTGGGGTTTAGGGTTTAGGGTAGAATAGGGATTTAAAAGGGTTCCTTGGCTGACTTCTGAACCCCTCCTAACAGTTAAACTTTTGGCCTACTTATTATAGTGCAAAGAGAAAGCCCAAAAGTTAAAGTCCGAAGATCCAACCAGAAGAACGCCAAGGTTCTTAAAGGTTTTGACTAGGAGTTTGGCCTTAATGGTAGAAATCTGGCTTTAGAAGGGTTCGTGTAAGGGTTGTATTGTGTTTCATGAGGACCTAAATGGCTGTGATGTCCTCCTTCTTGATGGCTTGAGGCGTGCTGCGAACGCGAACTGAATGTTGCAGGGGCTGTAGCCCTAAACCCTAAACTGTAGCCCTAAACCCTAAACCGTGTAGACTTTGAGCCGTTTAAGCAACACGGATCAAATTCATGCTTGAGGTCTTCGGGTCGAGGCGTGGAGTAGTACTACGTGCTAGAATGGGTAATAAGACGAGTCATAGTAGTAGCAATAGCAATACTAGTAATCATTTAATTCTCGCAGTAGCTATAATACCAGCTAAACCCTAAACCCTAAACCCTAAAGCTACAATACCAGCTAGTAGTTAGAGTACAGGTAAACCCTAAGCCGATAGCCTACAGCCTTTCGAAGCTTTCACCTTTAGAGCTACGGGGCCGGTTTCGCGAGTACCCCAAAGCCCCCAAAACCCAGAATTTCTGGTTTAGGATGGTTTAGGGTTTAAACTTTAAGCCCTGAAACCTAAAACCCTAAAGAAGACACTGTAAACAAAGCCCTCCACTCGAAAAATCCGACCCTCCCAAGATTTCGAAAAGCCAAGAAACCCAAAGCCTCAAGAGGTCAACAAAAACAGCTCCGTTTCCTAAAACCCCTGAACCCTAAGCCCGCAATCCTTAAACCTTAAACCCTACACCCCAAAGCCCGTAATTCCTTAAACCCCGAAGGCCTAAGCCCTGAACTCGACGCCCCGAAACCCTCCGAGGGCCCGCACCACAGTTGAAGGCAGGGCCCAGATCTCCGGTGATGCCTCGCTAGGCTTAGGGTTTAGGGTTCAAGGCTTAGGGTTTAGGGCTTCTGTAGGGGGTTTAGGGTTTAGGGGTTTGGGGTTTACGGTTTAGGGTTGAGGGGTTTAGGGTTGAGGGTTTAGGGCTTCTGTAGGGTTTGTTGAGAGAGCTGGAAGATGCTCTAGGGTCTCAGGGCTCAAGACCCGTAGCTGTCAAGGGGCGAATGTCCAGATCGAGGTACACGATCACGTCGTACTCTTGCAAGTTGAACGCGTGCAGGCCTTCCGCCCCCAGAGAGCCCAATGCCCCTTAATTAAGGAATACACCTCCAATCATGATATTAAGGCCCCAGTGATTCAAGGTATATTTTATATTCCTTATTTAAGGTGTATTGGGCTCTCTGGGCCCTTCAAGCTGAACACCCCGAACTGTAGGGTGGATTGTCCACCTGCCCTAGCGGACCTCAAGGCTCACAAGTGGGATCCTTTGACTAGAAAAGGTACGACCCCAAAAAAAGTTAAAGCACGGCTTCGAGGATTGGGAGACCTTGGAAGTAAGGTTACAAGTCCCTGACTGGGGGGTTATCAGCGACTCAATCGGTAGCTGTCTTAAATTGACCCCCCCCTTGCAGGCTTGCTGACAAGAAACAACCGCAAAAACCCTGAATGGGTAGTTCTCTCAATTAGTGTCCCTTTGTAGGTCCGCCCAACATAGGAGAAAGTACGGCACCCTTTGAAAAAGGACCCTCAAAGGAACCCTGTTTTACAGAACTACCCAAATTGTTTCCGAAAATAGGGGAGCCTAATATAGTACCCTAAATAGTAGGATCCTTATCTTAA